TGTTATCTCAGATTCTCCAGCATCTGCAGTTCCTACTATCTGTAAATTAAGGGATGACGTTGGGCAGTTGAAAAACATAATCAGAACGATAGACTTTATTCAGTTCACAAAAAGGCCCATGACACTTCATAAGAGTCACAGTAATGGTGGGACAATTTATTTGAACAACAAGGAGTGGAAATTATTCATCAAAACCATGATTAAAATTGGGAATCATTTAGTGAAGTCACGAACAGTGGGATTTATGTATTGGAGTTAGAAAATGGTGCCTATCTTCCATGTTAGCTACAATACGTACACATCCTCTACTATAGCCATGTGACAGTGGGAATCCTTCATTCTAGCTGCAAGACATGGGAAAACGCTTGAGCTCAGCAGAAATATTGCTGCTACTGAGTTAAGTCTTTTAGGTAAGCGAACTATATAATTGCATTAGGAAGACATGGCATAATCTTGGTCTTCAAAAATGAACTAATTGGAACGCAGAATAGGATATCTTGGTGAAAACAATTTCTGAGATACCGAATAGCTTCCAAAATTTTTGGATACTAAATCAGAAGCTGATGGGACATCACTTTCCAAAGGTAAAGAAACAGTAGTCACTTTGGAAGAGGCACTGTTATTTTGACAGTTGCTTTAACTAAGAATTAATTAAATTCTTGTAAGGGCAAGATTCAATAAAAGTGTTCAGCATCCAGGGGAATCTATAAAGTATTTCATTAGTGGAGAAATATGACTGTGGTGACTTCAAGTCAGAATTCACAAAAGACTACTAGTGCTGTAGTAGTTGGGTAGTTGTCAGATTTATTACTGCCCAAAAGAAGCCTAGGCTCCAGAGAAAGCCATTCAAATATTGAGGGATAACACGGTGTAGAGGTGGATGAACACAGCAGGCCGAGCAGCATCAGAGGAGCAGGAAAGCTGACATTTCGGGTCGAGACCCTTCTTCAGAAATGGGGGAGGGGAAGGGGATTCTGAAATAAATAGGGAGAGAGGGGAGGCGGATAAAGGAGAAGATAGGTGGAGAGGAGACAGACAGGTCAAAGAGGCAGGGTTGAAGCCAGTAAAGGTGAATGTAGGTGGGGAGTTAGGGAGGGGATAGGTCAGTCCAGGGAGGACGGACAGGTCAAGGAGGCGGGATGAGGTTAGTGGGTAGGAGATGGGGGTGGGGCTTGAGGTGGGAGGAATGGTTAGGGAGGCGGGGACGAGCTGGGCTGGTTTTGGGATGTGGTCGGGGGAGGGGAGATTTTGAAGCTTGTGAAGTCCACATTGATATCCTTGGGCTGCAGGGTCCCCAAGCGAAATATGAGATGCTGTTCCTGCAGCTTTCAGGTGGCATCATTGTGGCACTGCAGGAGGCCCAGGATGGACATGTCATCCAAGGATTGGGAGGGGGAGTTGAAATGGTTCGCGACTGGGAGGTGCAGTTGTTTGTTGCTAACTGAGCATAGGTGTTCCGCAAAGCGGTCCCCAAGCCTCCACTTGGTTTCCCCGATGTAGAGGAGGCCACAATGGGAACAGCGGATACAGTATACCACATTGGCAGATGTGCAGGTGAACGTCTGTTTGATGTGGAAGGTCTTCTTAGGGCCTGGGATGGGGTGAGGGGGGAAGTGTAGGGGCAGGTGTAGCACTTGCTGCGGTTGCAGGGAAAAGTGCCGGGTGTGGTGGGGCTGGAGGGGAGTGTGGAGCGAAAAGTCCCAGAAAGAGTGGTCCCTCCAGAAAGCAGATAAGGGTGGGGAGGGAAAAATGTCTTTGGTAGTGGGGTCAGATTGCAGATGGCGGAAGTGTCGGAGGATGATGCCCCGACCCCGTTGGATGATCAGCCACAATTATATTGAATGATGGAGCAGTTTCAAAGGGCCATATGGTTTATTCCTGCTCCTGTAATTGATGATTCTATGTTTCTATTTTTTGTTAGTTCATAGACATTACCACAGTGCCAGCATTTCAGGATCTGTGGTGTCAAGGAAATTCATGCTTCCTTGTGGATTGGAGCTTTAAATTTGTTTGACAATTAGTCATTATTAAGGATATTAAACAATTCTTCTAATTCTGATTCTGAGTCCAATGACTCATATGTCCACACAAATACATAGACTATTGTTACTATGTGACTGCTCTTCATAATCTTCCAAACTCAACACTATATTCAGTAATTTCAGATCATAACCTTGCCCTTTTAATAACATAGCTATTGATAATGATTCCGCTATTTTCTGTTTACAGCTCCTCTAGATCCATCTTTTGTTTGTTTATTTATACGATTATTATCTTTTCTCATACTATATACACAGGAGCACAAGTAGGCCATTCGGTTAATTGAATCTGCTTTGATATTCAATGAGATTATGACTGATTTGATTATCCTCACCTCCACTTTCCCTTCTCTTTCCCATGATCCTTTCTTAGCTACTGACAAAAAAATCTGTCTGTCTAAGCCTTGATCATACTTAATGCCGCAGTCTCTGCAGCCATCTTTGGTAAAGAATTCCACAGATTCACTACCCTTTGAGAGAAGTTTTCGATTTTCCACGTTATCATAGGTCTTCTCTTTTGTTTTAAATTCCCATTGCCCTGCGCCCCATCGCATTGATTAAAATTTGTTACATCTGATTTTCTGGTTCTGATAAAGGAGTATCAACCTGAATGCTATTCCGGTGTTTATAATCTTTCTGAACAAATGCTTTGTCCTTTTACTATAACCATTTGTCTTTAGTTCATGACATTTTTGCCATTTATTTCTCCGCCCCCCCCACCCTATCCCAGATCTACCCTTCTGCTCTTTATTTCCTCTCCCTCTTTCAAAAGCATATCACCACCCCTCCTGCAGTTTGAAAGAAAGATCATATACTACTCAAAACATTAACTATGTGATTCAAATGCTGCCAGAGCAGCTGATTATTTCCAGCACTTTGTTTTTATTTCAGCTAGATTGTCCATGCTTAGTTCTGCTCTTAACTAAGTATCTCCTCTAAAGTCTTCACGTGCAAAATATTGCCTAAGAAGCTTCTCCAATTAATTTACCTTTGGCTACTTCCTCTTCTGCGTGATGTTTCTTAGCAATATTGTCCACAGACGCGGGATCAGCTTTTTCCCTCACTTAAGGCCTAACATCTTGGCTCTAGTCTTCTGTCACAGACTACGGAAATCCTCAAAATTTTACTGTCCCTATTAAACACTGCTCAAATCCTTGCTTTTTAACCAGATACTAAATTACCCTTCTAATTTCTCCTCCTTTGACTTCGTCAATAATTTACCTCTGTCAAACTGCTTAGTCCATTTTCCTACGTTAAAAGGTCAATATAACTGTAAGTTAGTGATTTCATATTTAGAATGGATCAGCAGCAAGGCAATGTCTTTCAATTTAAAAAAACTTGCATTAATTTCATTTTCAATCTCTTATTAATTCCATTTTCAATAATATATTTTTTGAAAGTTTATATTGTGACCATTTCAATGTGTCAGTTAGGAATAGAGGCCATTTCAATGTTTCTTTAACTATATTCAGAATTCTTTTCATATAATCATCATACTATTATATAACATAGCCAATATTTTTCTGTACAAATTCAAAATATCTATGCGTGTTTTTCACTACTGACCCACAAATTTATTTTAGTGATTAAAATTAGAACATGCTTTGCTTTTTTTATGACAGGTACTCTGATCGACTATTATGGAAAGCATACATTGGACTTCATTCCCAAAGTTTTTCGGAAAGCTTTGTAGAAACACGACTGATTAAACGGATGATTATTCATGAGCAATTCAATAATTTCACAATGGACTATGATATAGCCTTGCTTGAACTTTCAGAACCTGTAGTGTACAATAATTACATTCAACCAGTGTGTCTTCCATCAGCATTACATGTGTTTCCTGCAAATCGAAAATGTTATATTACTGGTTGGGGTTTACTGCAAGAAGAAGGTAAGTTTAGTTATACTGAAAGCTATTTCTAACTCTATTTTCATTGGATTAAAATGCCTTTTTGCTAACAAATGTATTACAAGCTGAAAGGAATTAAGGAATCGATTGCAAAAACAGAGATCACTAGAAAAGCTCAGCAAATCTGGCAGCATTTGTGGAGAGAAATCCAAGTTTACATTTCAGGTCAAGTGACCCTTCCTTAGGACCAGTTCTGAGGAAGGGTCACTTGGCCCAAGACATTGACTCTGATTTCTCTCCACAGATGCTGTCAGACCTGCTGAGCTTGTCTAACGATTTCTGTTTTTCTTTCTGATTTACAGTATTTGCAGTTCTTTCAGTTTTTATAAAGAGTCAATCGGTTTTGTTAATTATCCAGTACAACTTGAAAAATTACATGAAGAACAGAAAGTGATTAACTGCAAGCACATTAAATGCTACACACACACATGCACAAATACTTACAGCATCATTCCTGATAATGGATTTATTGTTTCAGGGCAAATACTGTTTAACTAACTTGATTGAGGTTTTTGATTGGGTAATTGAGAGCATTGATGTGGGTAATGCCATTGATGTTGTGTAGATGGATTTCCAAAAAAAATGTAATGAACTGCACTTAGCATATGCAAATGAAAATATTGGAGAGGGTGCACAAAAGGTTTATGAGAATAGTTATAGGGATGAGGACTTCAGTTACTTGGATAGAATGAAGTAACTGGGGCTGAAGTAACTGGTGCTTTTAGACAATAGAAGATTGAGAAGAAATTTGATTGAGGTGTTTAAAATTCTGAGGGATTTGGACAGATGGTGTGCAATTGTTTCCCCCAGTGGAAAGGTCAAGAAATAGAAGATAGAAATGAAAAGAATGAGAGGAAGCATGAGAAAAATAGTTTCAGGAGCAAATCTTTAGATTTTGGAATCCATTACCTGAGAGTGATGTAGACAGATTGAATTATAGTTTTCAAAATAGAATTAGATAAATATCCTTGGAAAAGACAGTGCAATGAGTCTATCAAAATTACTCTCCCAGAGAGTAAGGAAATAATGGGCAAATGGTCTCCTTGTGATTTTTAATCATTCTATGTTTGCCCAGCTATTGGATTTACTCTACACTGTATTTTGTGCTCAAAGGAATTATCTTCTCCTTGTGGAGCAATGGGACAGTAGCTCTAATTTGAAGAAGGATGTGGGCTTGGGTGTGGAAGGTATGGCAAAAATGAGAGAATATCAGGAAGACAGCTGCAGTTCATTGACTTCAGCATTTAATTTCTGTGGACAACCTATACTTTAAACAACAGAAGAGGATGTTCCCTTGTTTACCAGACATTGCACACTCTATGTAATTATAGCCTTTATAGCAAACCAAGCTGGGAATGGTCCTCAGCTTTTGACATTTTCCCATTTTGCCAAACAGTGTCTTCAAGCGACTGCCTCTAGGTACTTCACTTATTTTTTGAAGAGGTTCCTAAATATACTACAACATTGAAGACTGTCCTGATGATTCCACTCTTCTGGGCATGCCAGGCCAAATTTCCCAGAATCTTTGGATTGCTTTGGTATGCTTCTGTTTGATAAGAGACTGTTTTCCTCCAACATCCAGCTGTGGTAGTTCACAAGGCCAAGAATCTCTTCTCTCTGCTGACCACACAATTTGCCAACTGTCTGTGAGATCCATTGATTTATAGGGAAGCTTGTAATTTCATCTGAAAAATGGCAGTTTAGCATCCATCCCAAAACATACCGGCCCTGCATACAGTCAATTGTTTTAACCTTAGAAATAAATCAACAGATGACTGTATCACTTTTTATCCCAATACTTTCCACATCTTTTTGGGGTTTTTGGAGACTATGAGCTTACCTATTCAGAACTCAGAGACTTCTGTCATTGTCTCCAGCTGCAAACACTTTACACTGTTTCCCCAGTAACTCACTCACCTCCCTTTGAGCTTTAACTCACCAAGGCCTATTGTTAACCAGACCTGACAGCAGGCCACAGGAATCCCTTACCTTAAGTTAAGGATACAATTCCAAAATATAACAATCTTATAAACCTCATAATTGCAACAAGAAAACCACTGTTGAACTTTCTTTAGGCTTCCCTGCATGATGTGGAGCAATTCCACTTCAAAGGTGTCTCTGAGTTAATATTGGGGCCAATCTCTCCTATGTATCTAATAATTGTATTTTGTTAAAGCTTTCCATAAATATATGAAAGAAACAAAATCTTAATTTTTAAAAATATTGGAACTAACAATTCAGGATTGCCTGAAACATCGCCTGATTCTTGATGAATACTAAGTTTTCTTTAGAATTTTTATTATTCATCCATGTGATGAGGGCATTACTGGCTAGGTTAGTTTTTACAGCCCATCCCTAATAGCCTAGAGGCCAGTTGAGAATCATTGCTGACGGTCTGGAAGCACGTGTAGGCCAAGTCAGGTAAGGATGACAGTTTCTTTCACTAAAGGATGTTAGTGAACCAGATGAGTGTTTCCTGATCATCGACAATGGTTTCATGGTCCTTAAACTATTAAATCCAAATTTTTTATTGAATCCAAATTCCACTGTCTGCCACGGTGGGATTTGAACCTGGGTCCCCAGAATATTACTTGGCTCACTGGATTAATAATCTAGTGATAATATCACTAATCCATTGCCTCCCTTATATACATTGGGAATTGTTTATGACCATGGTAACATCAGGACAAGCTTCTGTCACATGTTTACATTGGTTATAAACACCACCTCTTCCAAATCTATAACATCCTGGACATTGGCACTGCCTCAGCTGCATTGTTTCCTGCTTAAGCAATACCCTGATTTTAATTTTTCACCCTTTTCAAATTCTCGCATGACCTCACCTATTCCTGTGGTATTCTTTGGCTCCCCAAAACCTTCAAGATACTTACATTTATCTAATTCTGGTTTCTTCAGCATTCTCAATTTTAATTGTTCAATTGTTGGTAGGTGTGTCTTCAGCTGCTTAGACCTTAAGCTCTGGAATCCCATCCAGGGACCTTTCCACCAGTCTACCATATGTTCCTTCCTCAAGCAATTTCTTAAAAAAAAGACTTTATATTTATAAGGTGTTTTCCATGACCACTGGATTTCTCAAGTCCTTTTCAGCAAATGAAATATGTTTGAAGTGTACTCGCTGTTGAAATGTAAGAAACGAGAAAGCCAAACTGTGCAGTTTCCCAGCAATGTGATAATAACCAGCTTCTGTGTCTCTGTTTGGTGTTAGGGAATAAATATTGAACAGGACTCTTGGAATAATTCTTCTGCAAAAATAGTCATGGGAGCTTTTACATCCACATGAGTAGGCACATGGGACCTCGGATTAACATTTCATTGGAAAGATAGCATCTCCAACAGTGCTGCATCAGAACATTACTCTTGATTTTTGTGCTTAAGACTTACAGCGGGATTCAACCCAGATCCTTGTGATTCAGAGGCAAAAGTGCTATCATTGAACCATGGCTGACACCTGTCTCTGAAATTCTATCTCATTTACCAAGTTTTTTATCTGTCTGCCTTAAATCACTCTATTCATTGGATATGGAATTTTGCTTGTAACCCTCAAGTGAAAAGCCTTTAGACATTTCCTTGAATCAAAGTTGCTAAATAGATACAAGCTATTATTTTTTGTTTGGGAAGAAATACTTCATGTTACTGTAAAGAAATATTCAGTGAATCGTTCTGCGTCATTACAGTTGATAGTAATTTAGATTGTTCATTGTTCACAGTAAAGCAAGATAGAATTATTAATATAATTGAGAAATAAACTTCCACTCTATGCACAATGTTTCAATAAAATATATACATTTATGGGGTGTGGCAGAAGCTTTTTAAATGAAGTCTTCTAATCTTAAAACCATTTGCAACCTTTTTCTTAACAAAATGCTTATGGTTAAATTCATCACGTATCCAAATGTAGCACACACAATATATATCCACGAGGATAGTCATGGTTTTATATTTTATTGAAAAGTAAACTGCTGAATCAAGTTTTGTCACAATCTAGTGCTGAGGAACAAGAGATTCATTTGAATATTATTTGTTAATATTATATGCATCTGTTTTGCTTATCAATAGACAATATAGAGCCAATGAGCAGAGTTCTGATCTGAACAACCAATGCAATTTTTTTACAATAGTGCTAAATTTTTAAACATTTCTCGACTAAACAGGAAATACTTCTTGTTTCACAGGTCGTCTTCCTTTGGTCCTTCAAAAGGGTGAAGTAAGAATCATTAATCAAACAACATGCAATAACTTTATAGGAAACATTGTGTCATCACGAATGCTTTGTGCGGGATATCTTACTGGACAAGTAGATGCCTGTGAAGTATGAAAATTTATATTTATATTGAATCTGATCTTAGCACAGTTGACAACAATAGTTTCCATAGATTTGTGGTGCTATGACATTGATCGCCAAAGTTTTTTATGTTCAGAAAATACAATCAGTATTATACCAGTAGCAGAGAAAGTAAGAACTGCCGATGCTGGAGTCAGTGCTAACACAGTGTGGAGCTGGAGAAACACAGCAGCCCAGGCAGTGTCTGGAGGAGCAGGAAAGCTGATGTTTCGGGTCGGGACCCTTCTTCAGAAATAGGGGAGAGGGAAGGGAGCTGGGAAATAGAGAGAGGAGGGGTGGGGCTGGGGAAGGTAGGTGGGATGGTGACAGATGAGTGCAGTGGTGGGGATTGGTCAGTAAGGTGGGAGGAGCGAATAGGTGGGAGAGAAGATGGACAGGTTGTGTCAGGTCAAGGAGGCAGGGATGAGAGGGAGGGTTGGTCACGGGATAAGGCCGGGGGTGGGGAGATTTTGAAACTAGTAAAGTCCACTTTGAGACCATTGGGTTGTAGGCTGCCAAGGTGGAATATGAGGTGCTGCTCCTCCAGTTCGCGGGTGGCATCATGGTGACACTGGAGGAGGCCCAGGATGGACATGTGACCCAGGGAGTGGGAGGGGGTGTTGAAGTCGTTCGCGACTGGAAGGTGTTGTAGTTTGTTGCGAACAGAGCGCAGGTGCTCTACAAAGCAGTCTCCAAGCCTCCGCTTGGTCTCACCAATGTAGAGGAGGCCACATCGGGAGCAACGGATGCAGTAGACCACATTGACGGATGTGCAGGTGAACCTCTGTCTGATGTGGAAGGTTTTTTTGGGTCCTTGGATGGAGGTGAGGGGGGAGGTGTAGTGGCAGATGTAGCACTTCCTGCGGTTGCAGGGAAAGGTGCCGGGGGTGGTGAGGCTGGTGGGGAGTGTGGAGCGGATGAGGGAGTCACGGAGAGAGTGGTCCCTACGGAAGGCAGGGGAGGGGTGGGGAGGGAAATATATCCTTGGTTGTGGGGTCAGATTGCAGGTGGCAGAGAATTATACATTGCATCGGAAGGTTAGTGGGGTGATACGTGTGGACAAGGGGGATTCTGTCTTTGTTTCTGTTGCGGGGAGGGGATGTGAGGGCAGAGATGCAGGAAACGCAAGAGATATATGGTATGTATAGAAACGCCCTGCTTTGCCAATTGTGAATAGCTGACCTAGGTACTGTTGAGGATCTGCAAACTGCTTCTGTTGCTCGAGGCTGAGGAAAGATGGATCAAATAAGCATCTAATAGTAATAACTTGAATATTACTGTAGAAAGTCACTTCATCAAAGCTTTTTGTCTTGCACTCATCAGGACAATTTCCAAAATACCAAAGTCAGGGGAAAACCAACATTTACGCTGCCTGAAAGGAGAGTGCTGATTTGTTATGAAATGGAACTCTAATTGGTGGAGACCTATTTTAACTCAGCAGAATAGTTGACAATAATTCTCTGTTTAATTTCTCAGGACAATGCCTTGATCAATCAGAGTCAATCTGCTTAGTTGAAAATTTAAACAAAGTTAACTTTCAGTCATCATTAACTGGTGTATTCTCCATGGAGGAGGGCTTCTATCAATCAGACTCTGCTTGCCAACCAATCAGCACTCTTGTCTTAAAACAGTATGGAAGTTTTTAACCTTTATTTTGGCATTCTGGTGATTTGCACTAATTAGTATATGAGACAAAAATATGAGTCAAATCATTAATAAAATGTCTTCTTTCAGCAGTTCAAAAGTCAGATAGTTATCCCTTCTCCTGCTTATGGTCTAGGGGGTTCCTGCTGGGAAGGACAAAACTTCCTCCACTGGAAATATCTGTTCATGCACAAAGAATAGTTAATTGGAAGGGACACTGTTATATTGTTATTTATGAATAAGAGTCAACTTTATTTATATCAGCTACACTACACACTACTTATATATTTGTTTCTACAAAAATCTATTGTCTAAAGGTTCTGAAAGAATTAATATTGGAGTTGTATTAGCTCCACCCAACCTGATGGTGGCTCATAGTCTTTGGATGGAGAAACAATCAGTCTTGCATGAGGTCCCAATGGAGACAGTGATAATATACCTGGCTCCTGATGGTTGTAATTATGTGCAGCTAGTAAATGTTAACTGTACTTATTGCTATCATACAACAAACTAAACCTTGCAATGATATGCAAATTCCTTTTTTTGTTAAGACTCTATAGTGGCCTATACCTAACCAATGATAATTAGTTGAGCCCTTAGACTCAGCATACAATGGAGGATTGTTGACTAAAAACTACCCTGGCTATAAGCCACCAGTGGTTGATAATTGCAATGTACAAAATGTTAGCATGGCTGATGAATGAAAATAAGACTAAAGTAACAATTTTAAAAAAGATCTTTTTATTCCTGAATATCTGAATACTGGTAAACACAAATCAGGCAAGAAAGACTCGTTAACATTTTAGCCTTGCTGATCCTTCCTGATTGCTGAGAATATTGAATAAAAAACTATTAACAGAATTCAAAAATCATTTTTACTGTCATTTCTTTATTGATGAAATTTACTTTTTAAACAGTCTAGAAACCATATAAAGGAGAAGATCTACGTTTTGGAAAGCATACTTGAGTAATCATTACAAAGAAATGCTAAACTTTGGTTTGATAAATATATTTGTGCTACTGTTCATGTTTTCTGCAGGGTGATTCTGGAGGACCATTGGCTTGTGAGGAACCATCAGGAAAGTGGTTTCTCGCAGGAATTGTGAGCTGGGGACAAGGATGTGGTCGATATGGGCACCCTGGAGTTTACACGCGAATTACAAAGTTTCAAGACTGGATTCGGAGAAACATGGGAATCAGCATCAATTGATCAAAATTATTACATGCTGAAGACAAATTTTAATTTAATTCAAGTAGTGGTTCCTGCTGTAATACTCACGTTGCTCCACCAGTGAAGTACCCAAATGTTTAATTATAATTCTACCTTCTACATACTTGGCTCAAAAGAATTTTAGTTATCATGATTGGATGAAATCAAGTTAAACATGGGCATTATTGTTCCTTTTTATTGCTCCAGTATGAGAGCCCACTGAATGTCATAGCGTCATTGAGACATTGTGGTACAGAATGAGCACATTTAATGCATTGAGTCTGTGTGGTACTCCTTAAAACAGCTGACTAATTCTCACTTCCTTGCTTTATCTCTGCAGCCCTTTAACTTAACATCTGCCATGTGCCTATCCAGTTTCCTTCTGAAATTATTTAATGTCTCAGCTTCCACCCCACCATAGGCCACCAGTTCCTGGTCGTTATCATTTGCTGTGTGAAAAACAGGTTCTTCGTCAATACATACCACTACATCTCTTGTCAAAGCCTTTAATTTGTGTTCTCTAGACCTAGTACATTCAGTTAATGTGAACTGTCTACCTTACCTAAACCTGTTATTAATCCCCATCAAATCACCCCTCAATCTCCTGTCTACCAGGAAAACATATGCAGCTTCTCGAACTTGTATCGATATTCCTTCATCCCTGGCAACCTTCTGGGAAATCTCCTGTGCATTCCCTCAAGGACCTTCATATCTTTATTAAAGTTTGGAGAGAACATTTCTTCCAAAATGTATCATCTTATGTTATTCTGTATTAAATTCTATCTGCTACTTGTTACTTCCATTCTGGAAATCCTGTTGCAGTCAGTGGTCTCATTCTCACTGTTTGCCATACTTCCAAGTTCAGTATTATCAGCAAATTTTGAAATTTTATTCTGAAATCCTATATCTAGATCATTCATAAATAATCAAAAAAGCCAACTTTTAAATATCTAACCCAGCGGTTTTTAAAATTTGTGCCATGACAAATTTTCATATCCTTGCTTCCAATCTCCTCCGAAACCTCAAATGATATTCATCACTGCACGTGCATAAGAGAAAGGAAAACCATCTGATTGTGTGCCTGTGTGCCTTGACACTGAAAAGATTGGGAATCACTGGTCTAACATGACACTATTCTGTGAGCCTCAATTTCATTTCGTCAAACATTTTTTTAAAATCCATGCAACAACATCCATTGCATTTCCTTCATTACCATTCTCTGTTACATAATCAAAAAATTTAATTGAATTTGTCATATATGACATCCCTTTCGTAAATCCATGCTTGCTGTCCTTAATCAGGTCGAATCTCTCCAAGGTTGACTGTTGTTCTTTTCCCTGAGTATTGTATCTAAATTTTTTACCACTACTGATATTAAACTGGACTGACCTGTAATTAGTTGCAGTGACATTGCATCCTTTCTTGAATAAGAGTGCTACATCTTCTAATCCATAATACTCTGGCACCTCCACCACATAAAAGGAAGATTAGAGATTTTAGCATGCCTTTCTGCCATCTCCTCCTCCTCTACCTTAGCAAACAGTGTTGTTAGACACCTAGACTAGGCAAGTTAACCACTCAAAACATAGCCAGCCTTTGCAGCTTTCCTGCCTAACAATTTTCACCATCTCCACATTTACTAATTTTATTAGCATCTTCTTCCTTAGTAAGTATCAATACAAAATTAAATGTTGAATATTCTAGTTCTACCTATACCTTCAAGAATATATCACTGTCCTTGTCCCTAATAGGGTACACTCCACTTCTTAATATCTGCTTTTTATTGATATACTGATAGAAGACTTTGAGATCTTTTTATGGTAACTGCTGTTTTTTCTCTCAATCACTATTTGCCAGTCTTACTTTCTTCTTCACTCACCTCTCAACTTGTTGTATTTGGCCTAATTCCCACTTGAAGAATTCACCCACATGCATCAAATGATCACCGATTATCACGTTACCATTTTTATGGTCAGTCTTTAGTTTCTTTCTGCTCTGGCTAATTCCCCTCTCATCCCATTGAGGTCAGTCATCTTCTGGCTTAGATGTTATACTTTTGATTGTTCCATTTTACTTTTCCATTACTAACCTATTTTTGTGATATAATGAGCACTCTTATCCTAGTGCTTTCCCACAGATACTTAGCCCACTTCATTTCCTGGCACCAAATCCAGCAGTGTCTCTTTTCCATTGGACGCAACTGATAAGAAAGTTCTTTTGAATAAATTTCAGAAACTCCTCCATCTCTTACATTTCCTCTAACATTATCCTAGTCAATATTATCAGTATCACTGCACTGTACTTCCTGCGTGTCTCTGATTTCTCTATTGATCTGATGTTCTATCTCTCTCACTAGTTGCGGTCCCAGTAGCCTTCTTGCTTCTCAACTGTAACAAAATGGATTTTGTCTTTATCCACTGAAGGCCGTCCTGTCTTTCAAATGCTACACATATTTCCTATTAAGTCTGCCAGCTCATCTCCTGTTTTCCCTTGCCTATGTTTAATCCTTTTTATTATAAATATTAAGCTCACAGTTCTCACCACATTTAAGCCAGTTTTCCATTATTGTCACAACATCATATTCCCATATGGCTATTTGTGTTTGTTCCTCACTAACTTTCTTCACCACATTTTGTGTTTTTTCCATACGTGCATTGTAAACCTCTCTTTCTATTGTGCATTGTCCTGTTCCTATCTTACACAGTGCAACTTCATTCTTAAATACTATCAAACACTCCCTCATGCTCCTTATTTTTCTTTCCCTTATTTTAATATGTTATGCCCATCTTCTGCCAATTTATCTTAAACATCCACCCCAACCCCATCTCCACTACTGAACCTTCCCAAGAGTCCTGTTGATGTCTGCCCCATCCCTTTTGAAAAAAGATGTCTTCTACACAGAACTGATAGCAGTGCTTCAAAAGCCTGAAGCCTTTCCTCCTCCAGTATGCCATAGGCTTTGAGTTAGTCTGCCTTATCCTCCTCTTTTTACTGTCGCTGGTATGTGGAATTACGAGTAATTCAAAGATTATTACCTTTTAGGTCCCACTTTTTAACCTACCCAGTGCCTGAAAATCTGGCTGTATTACCTTGCTACCTGTCCTCCCTGTATCATTGGTACCAACATGTTTCACAAAGTCTGGTGTACTCTCTTCTCTTTGAAGAATAATCTGCATGCTCTCTGTAGTGTATTTTACCTTGCCCCTAGGGAGGCAACACGCCAAGCAAGACTCAATGATGCTTACAGAAATACCTGTCTCTCTCCCCCTAACAATGGAATCCCTTATAACAATTGCATTTCTGCACGATTGATGTTCCCTTCTGTGTCATCCATTGCCCATTGGGTACTGTGATCTGTCTGCACTCCTTCAGGTTTTGATGTTCCGAGCAGTCTGTAATGCTGAGCACTGGTTTGAGAATAGCAAACAATCCTGAAATTCTTAATCTTCCAGATGGTCGTTCATCTTCTATCCTGATATCTCACTGCCTGAGGCATGACCACATTCTGGAACATACAATCTAGGGTACAAGATATGCTTCCTGAAGCACTGCCATAGCAGCAAGGAAAGAATCAAACCATTTTGAGATTTTAAAAGTATGTTTGTCATGTAGTGTGGATGTGTACTTTACAGCCACTCTTTAAAATCTGCGCTGCATTACAAATCTGGTTGAGAAAGTCATTAACAGCTTCAGTAATGAAGTTATCAGTCCAACAGTAGTATCTGCTGTTTGGGTTTCAGGTAGATAGCAGCTATTCACTAATTACGTTACACTACTTCAATGAAGCTTGAAATTTTCTTTCCTGCATGTAAACTTTTTCTCTTTGGAGTTTATAATGTCCAATGCCAACATCTTGTTTTATTCAAATTAATTCTAGAAAGTTGCAAAACATTCTTACGTGATACAAGTTCCCCTTTAGAACTTTTTTTACACCTAGTTTGAACTCATCTCAGATGAACAATCTGTGATATGAAATAGAAACCTGCCAGAATCTAGAAGATCCCTTGTATTATTTTGTTGTGAAATCTGGTTAGTCCCCGAGTCAAAAGTTAGACCACACCAAAAATAAGCCCAGTGCTAAAGGTACCATGTGAAAGCAAGTTGAGGCATTTTCTGCAAGTAACTAGATTGCAGAGTTCAGCTCAGCATCCACTTCCCAAACTAATTAAGTATAATTATCTACAAATAAAGGAGGTGAAAAGGTTTATAATGTTTTCTTTTAACAGTAATAAAAAGACTCAATATTAATTTGTTGATATAAAGTATCTTTAGTTGCGGTAATGTATGTGGCCTCAGACATCTAATAACATGAGAATAATTTAATTAATTAGTATTGATTTTAATCCTACAAACTACCAAACCGAACACCACTACCTGGTGACACTTGATGAATTTTGAATTCGACCAAGGGTCCTGTGGAGATAGGCACGATCCTAATTTAAAATCTAAAAGTCTGAACCCATCTCTGACCTACGTCAGCTTGTGAAACCCCTCCCTCCAATTTCCATTCCAATCACCAGTTACCTTATGCCAGCGTTTGATCCGTGGTGATATCTAGAGTTTGTCAACTGATCGTGACTAATAGTTTCAGGTGGAAGACAAATATGAAATGTCTAAAAAGACCCCAAAGTTAAAATCGGAAAGGCCTTGTTATAGTTACATAGGTGATTTGGAGTTGGGGACTAAGTGTGGTGTGTCAAAATTTGCAGATGACACTAAGGTGAGTGGTACAGCAAAGTGTGCAGAAGACACTGAAAGTCTGCAGAGGGATATAGATAGTCTAAGTGAGTGGGCAAAAGTCTGGCAGATGGAGTACAATGTTGATAAGTGTGAGGTCATCCATTTTGGTAGGAATAACAGTAAAATGGACTGTGTTTTAAATGGTAAAAAATTGCAGCACGCTGCTGTGCAAAGGGACTTGGGTGTCCTTGTGCATAAATCACTGAAGGTGGGATTGCAGGTGCAACAAGTGATTAAAAAGGCAAATAGAATTTTGTCTA